ATGGGGAACTGAAAGCAGCAGCAAGCCAACTGGCAAAAGCTTTAGCTCAGTTATTTTAGTGCTGTTTAGCTCAGAACCAGGTTCCCTCTATATGGGAGCTTGGAATAATAACGGTAATTCACAAGAGAGGAAGCAGAACTGAGCCCTCTAACTACCGAGAAGTATCCCTTCTCCCTATACTCTCCAAGGTCATAGAATCCATAGTTCCCGATGCACTGGTATGTTATCTGGAAAACCGTAATATCACCAGGCTTGAGCAGCAAGGCTTTCTTCGACAGCGGTCATACACAACGAACTTACTAACCGCACGCAGTAGATTGACCGAATCAGCGGACGCTGGAGAAGGCTTTGATATGATCTACTTGAATTTTTCGAAGGCTTTCGATGGTATTGACTATCGGATACAACGCTCCGAGATCCAGCATTAAGGACCGTTTACCTTTTTCTAAGCAGGATTGCCAACTTTCTACTTCAACAGTAATTAATGGTCTGAGTTCGGAGCTCTTTATCGAACCCCATGCAAGTCACGTGTGATGCGCCGCAAGGCTTAGCACTAAGTCCACGTTTTTTGGTGTTTTGTAATGACCTCGCACAGGCAATGAATTCAAAGCTTTTTAATGTTTGCCGGTGATATCAAGCTTTGAAAAAGGATTCAGGTGAACGCCGCCTAGCATCCGCTTCAGAGTGACCTAGATACGGTATATCAATAGTCAACCCAAATTTTGCAGCATTTCAACGTGAGTGAATGCAAGGTACTTTCCATCCGACATCAAAGCACCTATACATACCTGCTCGGAATGAATGTACTACATCAATCAACTGTCGAGCGTGACTTGGGTGTGCTAGTTCAAGTTGAGTTGAGTTGCTCCAGACAATCCAAAAAGGCGCCGAAGACTAGAAACCAACACGTCGGGCCGTTGCGACGGGCGTTTGGACAAATAGACAGTTTCATATTTTGACAAATGCTCAATGCCCACGTTCGTCTCCATGTCCAATACGTAATTCAAGGCTGGCATTCATGGCTGAAACAGGACCTTAATGCACTGGAGCAGCCACAACATTGGGCATCTAAGAACGTACAGTGGTATTCTGCGGAAGCTATCAAGATTACGAGGAGACCTGATTACGGCAGACTTGATTCTGCAAAACCCACATCATGGGTGCAGCCCTTTACTGCAACTCAGCAGCATTACAAACCTGAGGGGCCAATAACTAAGCCTCACAGAATAGTTTAGCCGTCTGGAGTGCCACAGAAATTTCTTTTCTATTCGTGTCCGCTACCCGTGGAATGTTCCGTCGTCTCTGCAACGACACTACAAGTAGTTCAAAAGGGTTGGATGAGGTAATCATGCACTTCCGCTTCGTCACTTAGCGCTGGGTCTTTATCCTACTCCTGGAGTTTAACATGGATTTATTTGATGAAAACTGTGTGTGCCGTGAATCTACGCGGATTGCAGAACTACAACGAAGCAAACGATATCCTTATTTTCATATTTAAGTACTAACTGTTTTACCATTATTATTATTTTTCTCAATATTATTATGCCGAGATACCTGATAACCATCTAACGGGACTTATAAATCAACGCTTGTGAACCCGTCTAAATTCATTGTTCCATTGTGAGAAGGAAAGGTTGGTTGCTAGCAACAACCTAGTTTGACTTCTACACCCTTTGATAAATTTTCCAACTTTACGGAAACGACCAGACGTGAAATGTACCTCTGACGTTTATAAGTGCATTGACAACATATGCGTGAGGCCATATGAAATGTATAACAGATAATATGGGCAAAAAAGGAATGGTAGATATGAAAACTTTTATCAGGTACAGTGGAACGCACATTTTCCTTTTTTGTTAATGTGTTTGGCTATTTAACAGTCATTAACGAACTTTAGTAACATTTGCTCTAGTTTGCTCAGGTGAACTGGCAACTTGTGCTCAGCACACGCATATTTATAAAATATTGCAGGGAATTGTGTGAAACAGGAGATGGAAACACAACGCGACGCAACTCCACTGAAATATGTGGGCTTATACTCAACGAGACTCTGAAAGTAGGCGGGACATTTTAAACATATCAAACCGATTCATAAACCTATGGATATGGTCAGTGTTGATCCATTTAGAGTATATGTACCTAGAAGAAATTTTGCTTGTGATTCGAATGGTTTGGCTATGTTGCTAAACCGCGCTGGCCGTCTGGTCTGGCGAACATGTCGTTATTTCACTGGGCTGGAGATAGACAACAATGTCTTGTATTTGTTGTAGATACCTACAAAATGTTCTATTTCTACCAGAATATTATATAGAACTGTCACATGCAGCGTTATAAAGGTTTGTCCTAATCTTAAAAAGCAACGCTTCAAAACAGTTTTGAAAAATACTGTCAACTAAGGGAGCAGTATTGTAGCGTACGTTAGGCTGGTCATTGACTTGATTAGGCCGAAAGATTAAGTCGGTCGTAACAAAGAACTTTTGCTTTTACAGATTAATGAGCTAGGTATTTTAAACTACCGTTGGAGCAGAACAAACCCGAGTGCACTAAATTGATTGCATTTACCATATATCTTACGCGTATCTTTGTGCCATCTGGTATGATAGTTAGATCAAATTATATTAACCTTATTAGGATATATTGTACAGTGATTGTATGAAGCTTCCTACTTCCCAAAGATTCCTGAAGAGCGGTTTGCAAAACTTCATTTGGGAATTTTGTAACAAAGCAAATAATCTTCATCCATCAGTGTACGAATTGCCACTAGAAAGGCTATGAACTTCGCCTGCGATATTACCACTAAAATATAACTTAAACGACTGGATTTTAACAGACCAACACTGAAGTAACGGGATATGCATTGACTCAACGTAACCATTCAGTCACAGCAAGAGACTGAGGAGCCGTAAGTTCAAGTTGTGCATAAAACGAAGCTACCCGTTATGTCGGTTGCAGTTGGTCTACCTTCGTGTTTGCCAGTCGTGGAATGCGCTTACTAACTGCGTTGTCTCCGATATGACGTTAACATTGATAACAGAGAAATCGACCCTGAGCATAGCCCATTCGCATCGAGAAAGAGAATCTTCGTAAATCTGGAGGAGATAAAACGCAGTGAACAGCCCACTCAATTGATTTGCCTACACCATCTAGACTGGCATTTTGTATACGTTTAGTAATCACCGTGGTGAGTATAACAAAAGGCTTTGCATATTAGTGTCGTGTTTTCTTCTTTTCGTTTTGTTGTTCATATCCTAGCAATCACAAGAAAGGTGGTAAACTTTCGACATTTTGTTATTAATGTACGACTGCACTGTACAACGAAGTTGATTTAATAATCAATTTAAACCTCGTGGAAACTCCTTCTCCCATGATATCTAATACTCAATTAGTTAAGACCCTGGGAAAAGAATTTAGTGCGTTTTATTGGAATCTTTCGATTGTCCTTAACCGATAATTCCCAGCTCAATTGGAATTCACTTTTGTAGTGGCTGACTCTAGTAAGTTGCTTAAAACCACAAACTTTTACTAGATTTACTGCAATCATGCTGCCACTGTTCCTGTGTGTACGATGAACATACCAGCGGTGACGGACAGCTTAGCGACTACCATCGGTAAAATCATGCATGAACGGATAGGTAGATCCATATTCGGTTTGCGTGCGCACTAACGCAACACAACGTGCTTAATGCATTTCGATGTCCAAGAGTAAGTAAATTTACCAAGAGAGAGACACACGTAAATAACGAAACTGATGGTTAGTCGTTGATGGGTTACTTGTACACTAGGACATTAGTATACTATTAATAACAAAGCAATGCTTTACAAGTCGCATGTGCTGGAAAAAATTTAAAGAACACATGATGATAAATGCAAAGCAGTTTCCTGGACTCAAAATGCAGTTCCCATTGAGAACTGCATAAAAATACTACGTGGGTCAAACGTTCATGTTTATAAATCCGGCTGGTTAGCATTCTTCAAACACACCGTTTACTTGCGATATATAGCTTCCAACCAAAGCAAGATATACAATGAAATGCTAACTGTGAGCTGCTTCCTAAAGTCTTGTTAAATATCCGTAGGTCGGAGACAGAAACAATCTAAGTTGGGAGAACTTTCTACGGCTGACACACTCGAAGTGAGAAGAAATGTCTACAGTATTCCAGCGGGTTATGAACTATTGTCAGCTTCAATGATCACCTATTAGTTTACCATTGTGTTTCAGTTCCAGCAGTAGACCGCCGATGTGGTGGTTCTTCAGGATCTGCTAAATCATTACACGTTCCCCCGCAAGCGCCGATACCGACTGCTGTGCGCGCCTAGGGAATTCAGTGTATCGTAGTGGGGCAGATGGAAGATACCTTGATGTTCTTGGATGCCCATAGTTTAGGAGTTTGGAGAACATTTAAGCACACCGCTCGAGAAGCCAGATATACCTTACACGCTTTGCTAAATGATTATCATGGTAATTGCTTCAATTAATCAAACTGATTCATTGAATTCCCAGCTAGCCACAAGTTGCTTAATACATACAAATTAGGCAATCTGAAGATGCTCATTCATTGTAAACTTCTACGGGGTTTAAAACACTGAGTTCCCTGGATCATACCAAATAAGACATTGAGGAGACTGGTATTGCGTGATGGAACCATTTCGTGTTATGTGCTCACTCGGGGTTGTTGTCTGACCAACGTTTATTGTTAAATAGCCGAGCTTTGTAAACGAGGGAATGTGATTGTGCCTTTGTAGGCATCCGTTGTAATTTTAAACTGCCACACTACCCATGGGGCGAAACTGTAGGAAAGCGCAAACATTCGTTCCATATTTGTGACAAAAAAACGGTTTTCCACAAGTGACCTACATTATCCACACCACTTTCATAATGAGGACTTAATGGGTGAATATTTATCAATATGTACTAATATTATTTGCTCTCCATGTATGGCTGGCAGGTGAAAATGTCTTTTTGCTACCTACATTTATTCATCTTGTCTATGTCAATGCAGATGGCGAGGATGTTTGTAGCATCCGCAGTACAGAAGAGTTACAAGACGCGATCGATTTTTTTGAAGAAAATCAAGCGAATGATAAGTGTATTCGTCTCATGGCAGAGCCAGTTGATAAAATTGACCTATTCACCGCAATGCAACTTTACTCACAACTCAACAGTTCTGATGCGGCTGAAGAAAGCGTAATGGATGTCAACGAGAATACTGAGGTTGCGAAAAATAATCTTGACACGGATGGTGATGTTGAGAATAACTGTATCTCTGCCGTCAGCTCTACCGTCAGCTCTGCCGTAGAAACGAATAATGAGCGACACTTTACATCCACACATCCAGTATTGTCGATTCAAACAAATGCTTCAGTGAACATCAAACCTGAGCCTTTATTCGACGATACAAAGGAAAGAGCTGCAGCCTTTAGGTTAAAAGCTAGCCGAGGATTGTTTCCAGTTGTAAGGGAATCAAGAAGTAAGCGTATCAGTCCAGCAGAGGTCAAGGTCAAAGATGCAGCTCCTGATAATGTGGTAACTACTGTTGAGCAAACAAACGGGGAGTGTGCTAAAGATGACCTCCCAAATACTCAACAGCCGGTCGACAAGGATGTTGAGAGGGAGGCGCAAATTCAACCTGATTATTTCGAGACAGAAGCATTAAGTCGGACCTGGACTATACCAGAAAATACGTTTGATTTATCTAGACAATTATACATGATGGGATTTCGTTTTGATGAGAAAACATTCAAACGTATCATACGTGAGTGCAGTGGTGATGTCAACCTTATTATTGACAAACTGTCAAACTTGACGGCGGAGTGAGGTTATTTTGTTTAGAAGAAAATGGCTGACCAAAGCACAGTTTAGATGTATGTCGCGCCTTGATGTCATAGACCTAACCTAATGAACCGCTGTTTGTAACGATGTTTGACACTGAAAACTTAATGCCAATTGAGTCAACAAGAACATGTCGCAGCAGTAAGCCTTGCTGATTGATGTGTATTTTGTTAACAAATCTATTGCTATTGGATGTAATATTTTTTCGCACAATTACATATTCGAATGTTAAAGGCAGACATTTTCCATCACATTTCTCTAGCTGAACTTGTGCAGTTTCTTTTTGTTATATTCACGGAATCTTCTGTGCAAATAATAAATGTTTCGGCAATTACCAAGAGTGAATGTATTCCTCATGCCAAAAGCCTTCATGCAATTTTCGAGCAGTTGAAATAGAAAGAAACTAGGTGTTGCCCACCAAAATTCACTGCACACCACAATGCGCTTCGACCTCATTTGTTCTCATCAGGTAGGGATAGCAAGCCTCCAATCTGGGACCATTAGGTGATCAATTGTGACCTCTACTCCCAACCCACCGAGTCACGACTAGCAATGCTTGACACAGCGGTTAATGACTGCTTACATTGTTCACCTCGTTATGGTCCAGATTACTTGCTAATTGTCTAGCTTTTAAGCACCCACTGAGCATGGTACCTGGCATAAACTGGGAAGGCGCTAGCGGCCTCCGTTTCCAGGCTTTCATCTCATTTTTCATATAACCACAGAATAAATATTCTGATAGAAAAATTGGGGCATTCTAATGAAGTACTTCCTACAACTTCAACCACAAGCCTCGTATCTAGCGAGGATCCATGATAATACGACTGTATGCTTGCAAATAAGAAGTGCAAATGATACGATGTCATATTTACAAATCTTTTAGCGTGCAAAATACGTAGACCTTAGACAACATTGCATGCCAGGTTCCTAAGGGACTCGGTTGGGCCACAGGTATTCACACGCTTGGACTGCAGTTTGAGCTTGAATCGGTGTATCTTTTTTCAAAGAAATATGCACGTTCTAATGGAAGGGGAAGGCACAAACTAAAGCACCTTGCCATCAGTTGTACTCAAAATTTTAATGGCCCGCAACAATGAGCGTAAATTATAAGGAAGTTATTCAATCCCCATCGGACGTAACCGACAATGTGCAACAAGAGCATAAGCGCATCCAGCTGGTCGGAAAATGGTGTGGGATCTAACTTCTTGTTATTTTACTAATGTCTTTGAAAGTAGTGGCTTGGGCATATGGAACTTCAATACCTTATTACATCAGCGTAAACGGCCAGTGTATAAACTAGAATGGGCAAATTCATGCATAAGGTGAATAATTTAACTGTATAAGTAAAAGGCAATTTAACTAAATAAATTGCTATTCGCGGCCACGCGGCACGCCGTTAAATGCATGATCATAGTAATAGTACAACAATTGCTCATAAATTATGTAATAGTATAATAGGATTGTTATATATGTGGACCCATAAATGTAGGTATGTATGTGGGTGTGTTGCTTGTGTTTGGAAATGTGTTGCTGTTCTTTTGAATGAATTCCATCGCGTCGCCTGTGTCTGAAGAATTGTTTGACGTCTGTGGCTTTGATAATCTTGTCAGCGTAAGGTTGGGCACTGACTTTATTTAGTGGCGAGTCACATGCCACCCGGCTGGCACCAAGTGGATAGTGTTCAGCTAGCCAACCAAGCTGGAGTCAACTGCAATGTAGAACCCATATCAGACTAGCTAAGCACCTGAGGATTTACGAGCATAATCAAAAACAGACTACCATAGTAATTTCAAACGATGCACGGAATGCGAAGTGATATTCTGGGAATTTGCGCCTCCAAAATTGCACACAAGTCGTCTGCAGTTATAACACGGCTAATTGCTACAGTTATTGATTCTTTGCATATCCCTTTTGAAGCATTTGTTCTGTGTTTGTGACATGGATAATTAACCCGAATAGTTACTTGGACCGTATCCGAGGCAGATAAGCGTTAGATATTGACCGTTCTTGACACCCGATTTTGCATGAGACTGGAAAGGGATGTCATCTTACTGCATGCGCGACTCCTATTGAATTCACATTCGGCAACTTGTCGACCCCATTTTAGCGTGAATCTCGCCCCGTTTGTTTACACATGTGTTAGCGTCGATCACTGTTAGTGCAAACGCTGGTTTTCGCGTTACTGGCTGCACGGGCGCCTGAATATTTCTCACTCTCACACATCTGATTGTGTGGGCGACCTAACCTGTGACCATATTTACACAAAATATGCATGCTGATATACAGCGGTTTGGGCTGAACATCACACTTTTCTGTGACAACTTGCGGGATAAAACCACTTCTATTAGTTCTACTAAGAAATTTGCAACCAGAGACCCATAGTGCTTTAGGAAACCTTTGGATTTCCAAACATTTAGTGCATAACCTGGTGGCGTTGGTCCTGTAAGCTAAACCAAATACAACTTGGCCCACTTGTGGTCGGTTACCTCTTCAGTCACTTGGTCTTGCCATGAACCGGGGACGCAGTCATATGAAATCATCTTCTCAGGAATACTATGCATGGTCATGATTTATCGGTTGCATCGAAAGCATTCTTGGTTCGTTCAGATACTTCCCTATCTCACTCCTTCTGGGATCACAATTATGTTATGTGGGTTAGCGAATAATTACACGCTCTCTTTAGGCCCCGTGCTTCCGCGGGTATGTGAGAGACAGTCGAAGTGAAGAAAAAACCCATGACGGAACACTGTCAACGCCCCTGTTGGAATTCCACGGCATATTGATTTGTTGTGTTATGTAGCCCCTGTCTGCTAGGTGACTGGAGTTAAAATACTTATTCCGATTGACTTTTACCAAACAATACTGAGTACAAGGAGTCGACTGAAAATATTTCAGAACTATCAATACCATATTTTTGTTGGCATATAGATATAATGTTTAAATCAAGCTTTTATTCGCACTTTGCTTGCTTGCCATTACGAATTTAACATGAAGTACACAGGCTTTGAGTGGCATACAATATCAGCTACCGAGTGATAAATTAATCATCTGAAGGAAACCTTCTGTCGTATGTTCCGTATTGAAATAACCGAGATGTGGTATTTTACGGAGCACTCTGAAGCTTTGCTTTGCATTGTCTGTCACAAGCCACTTTTCGCCTTTCGTTTATGGTCGGTCAAGGCGCTCAGAGGCCAAAAATATGCAATAAAAATGCATGAGTCTGAATCTGTTAAGTGATAGTCTGTGCAACCCGTATTCAGATGGTGACCTGCTGGAAAAATGGAAAGAGCGGCGATGGAGAACTGATGTAACAATTATGCTGATCTGAATGGTGGCTTCATCAGGGTTGGCCCAAACATGTAAGTTCGCGAACCACCTAATGATCATATATTCGTTTTGTTTTACTTAAGTGCATTGCTTATAACTTTTAATTTTGCCGAAAGAAGAGTTAGGTCATCCAGCCAAGCGGGCTTTTACAGCTGGTAAACAAAACACCGATAAATTCAGTGGAAACAACGTCCGTATTTTAAAAGTTAGGCATATAAGCAATTTTAACACATGTGCAAATGACCTAAGCATTGTACAAGGAACGGTTTTTGCTACATGTTTGTAATTGGTCACATTTTAGGTCGCAAGCAAATAGCTTTACAACATAGTAGGACAAACGTGTTAAAACTATGGCGTTATGGTCACGTATGGTTAGATTATTCCACCTTGATCCCAACGTATTGTAGGCGGAATTCGCAAGTAAAACTGTTAACTATGTTTAGCTTATTACAACCTGAACGGTGAATATTTTCGCGCTTCAAAGTATTTCATAATGCAAGCTCTCAAGCTGGAATGCACTGGAAGCAGGAGGACGCTACCGTAAAAGAAAGGAACTTCATATTTTCATTATTCACAATATAGTCCAGAGGGATGCACTAGCTGAAACTAACTTTACTTAGGTGTTTTGTCAGTTTTATTAAGCAAAATACATGTACTGGGGTTAAAACATTGTACTGTGTAAATCCAAAAGGCAATTACAATTTACCATTAATTAGTGCTTCATACCATGTCATATAATGGGCGCGGTGAAATTATGACCGCACGAAATCTTACTCATACATAAATTAGCAGTAAGGACGGAGTAATAATAAACTGGAAAGTGGATGTGTAGTGGAGACGATCCCTGAAGATATACTGGAGCAGATGAACATAATAAACAGCAGTCCGTTTGTAAACAGGTCTACAGGATCCAATAGAAAGCGTGAGCTACAATTTCTTTGATTACCTGGAATTATTCTGTTCTTTGTAACCAATAATTGGTATCGATGTACATCTTATCCGAAGGTAGCCCAACATCATGCTGCGGAAATAGAAAGATGAAAATATATCGGTTAGCCAGACTAAGATGGGTCACCAAGAAACACTGCGGGAGTGTACATCGTGTCCCATATTTACTATCGTTTATAAATTTTGTAAACAGGGACAGCTTCTTTGTCGGAGTTTGGATCACCCAGCGTTTATCTTATGGACTGAAACATGCAATACCAATTGTGGGGTACATTCGGTTTGAAGTCAGCCTGTGCCATTCCGTTTACGAGGACCGGCTTCGAAATGGAGCGCTTCGGTGCCATGTACTCTCGTCTCTGCATTGCAAGACGCCTTTCGTCGTGGTTGGGACTCATCAGTTAGCGATAACCTGGGCTGCGAGTAGATCCCGACAAGTAGTGCTTGCCATCTATGACCTTGATCACTAGGCCATTGACCTTCGTGAGAAGTTCCGTGATACAGCGGTTGGAAATGCTTTTGGGGTTTCGGAGCATCTGCTGCATATCCTGGATTGCGACACGCAATTAAATTTGTGGCATTGGTTGCCTTTACCATTCCGATCATGAGAACCGCATCCCAAGGGAACTTTTTCGATGTTGCTCTCTACCAATAAGTTCCCAATGATGAGACAGTGTTTAATTGCATTAAACAAATGTACTTCAACTTCGAAATGACCAAGTTGCTCCAAACTGGCATGATATAGCAAAGTGAACTATTGATTATCACCGACAATTAGTCTTATTGAGATCACACAAAGCTTAAAATATAGGGGAACGACCAGTTTTCGCCCAGTCGTATGGCCAGATACTTATCGTCAGAGCTCCACGTCAGTAAACAGCCGCCATAGACCTGCTGTATGAAACCACCAAACGGAGAAAAATGATAAATGATGCCTTACTGTCAAAGCTTGATCCAGTAGAGAAATTTGTTTCTTTCTTCCGCGGGTATTTCCGCATTATTTTGTAAATGGTACAGACAAGGCAACAGTTTGGGGTCTGTAGATTGTATGCGTTACCGAACAGAC